AACCATCATCTTAAATCTTTATTTAACTTACAGCCGATTACCCGTGAATCCGACCGGTCGTTGAGATTTCTTGTAGATCATGTGACAAAAAACTTACGTGCCTTAGCTAGTCTAGACCAACCGACAAGTCATTGGGATATTTTGTTAATTTTTATGCTCACTTCAAAGTTAGATAACCAAACTTTAGTGAAGTGGGAAGAGTATCGCAATACTCTCGAGAATATACCTACTTTGGCTCAGTTCAACAAATTTTTGACAGACCGCGCCGATGTGCTCGAATCTCTCTCTCGTAACAAACCTGAGCTAAATAAAATTGTTCCATCTACAGTAGGACATTCTAATACATGTAATAAAATAAATCAAAAAAATAATAATCATCATAATCAAAACTATAAATATAATAGTCCTCAAAATAAATATACAGTCACAAAGTCTTTTTCTGCTACTAACCAAAAGGTATCAACTTATTTGTGTGTTATATGTAATAACAATCATAAAATTTATGACTGTGTCATTTTCAAATCAAAGGGCATTACTGATCGGTTAGCGGATGTTTCCAAATATAAACTATGCGCAAATTGTTTGAGACAAGGTCATCCTGTTGAGGACTGTCGCATGGGTCCTTGCAAGGAGTGTAAAAAAAGACACAACACACTTCTTCACGAAACCATGACAGAAACAACTAATAATGTTGCTGTTGGCAGTGAAATTGTTTCAAGCTATTCTGATCAGTATTACTCGCAAATTTTATTAGCTACAGCTCAAGTAGAGGTATCTAACCCCGTTACAAAGCAAAAGGTAAGGGTAAGAGCACTTCTAGATTGCGGTAGCCAGTCGTCTTTTATCAGTGAATCATTGATGAAACGACTGTGTCTAAAGCCCCGTACTATTAATACTATTGGTGTTATTGGAATTGGCAACAACTGCAGCAACAATGTGACTAAAACTTGTACTGCCGAAATAAGCTCTATAAATTATAAGTTTCGATTAAATTTATCTTGTTTTGTTTTAAACAATATTACCAGTGAGATACCTAAAGCTCATGTAAAAGTGCAAAACTTACATTTACCTAAAGGTCTACGTTTGGCTGATCCCACTTTTTATCAGCCAGCGGCTATTGACTTGCTCATTGGAGCTGATGTGTTCTGGGACATTCTAGGAAATGAACAACGCTCTTTGGGTATCAATGGTCCTAAACTGAGAAATTCTAAATTGGGTTGGTTAATATCTGGACCAATGCATTCATTTATTGCTAAAAATATCAATTGCAATACTGGCGTACTGCAGCCTACATCCAAAGAAATTGATAAAATAAATCAAAATATTAGTAAATTCTGGGAAATGGAAGAAATACCAAAAAAACTTATTTTAAGTAAAACTGAGAAAATGTGTGAACATTATTTTATTAATACTTATTCACGTCTAGGAAGTGGACGTTTTTGTGTCAGGTTACCCCTAAAGGATACACCTGACTGTTTAGGAAACTCATACAGTAGTGCTAAAAAAAGATTATTATCTTTAGAAAAAAGATTTAAACGAAATCCATCCCTAAAATACGAATACACAAAATTCATTGATGAATATGCAGAGCTGGGTCACTTGTCCGAATCATCCACTAGTATACCTCAAAATTCTTATTTTTTATCTCATCATGCAGTCTTAAAAGAAAGCAGTGAGTCGACTAAATTGCGGGTAGTGTTTGATGGCTCTGCCACATCTTCATCTGGCTTTTCACTAAATGACATATTAATGGTTGGTCCTAACATGCAGGACTCCCTCTTTTCCATTTTAATAAGAAGTAGACAATACAAATATATTTTAAGTGGCGATATTGAGAAAATGTATCGACAGGTTCAAATTCATCCTGATGATCGCAATTTACAACTTATTTTGTGGAGAAGTGAGGAGTCCGAACCTATTAAAACACTGATGTTGAATACTGTCACTTACGGAACTGCAAGTGCCAGCTATTTAAGCATTAGATGCCTCTGGCAGCTGGGGGAGGAGCAGAGCGATGAACTAATCAAAACAATAATCCAAAATGACTTCTATTGTGATGACCTCATCACAGGAAGCGACAATGAAGAAAAGTTGCTATATATACAAAATTCTGTTACAAATGCTTTACATGCAGGTTGTTTTAATTTACGAAAGTTTAAAAGTAATTCAAGGCTAATTCAAGAACATAATGTTAGCATAACTGATTGTAAATCCAACTTGACCATAAGTGAATCCTCTAGTACACTTGGTCTTGGATGGAATCCTGTTAATGATTGTTTGAATTTTCCTATTCAGGAAATCGAAAATAATAATGTTGTGACCAAAAGATCTATTCTTTCAAAGTCTTTTAAGATCTTTGATCCTCTTGGTTTACTAGCCCCGTGCATCATACAACCTAAATTAATGCTTCAAAAATTGTGGAAAGTAAAACTTGATTGGGATCAACCAGTTCCACAAGATATAAAAGCAGATTGGCTGAGGTTTTCAGAAAACCTTCATTATCTTAAATCATTCGAAATACCAAGACTTGTAATATGTGATACTCCCATGATAATGGAAATACACTCTTTTAGTGATGCGTCTGAAAAGGCCTATGGAACTTGCATTTATGTAAGATCTATAGATAGTGTCGGTAACATTACTACCAAATTATTATGCTCAAAATCAAAGGTTGCACCAATCAAACCCACAACAATGCCACGGTTAGAGCTTTGTGCAGCTTTGCTAGCTGCTAGACTTTGTGCGTCTGTTCTATCTGCTTTACGTTATATACCAACAAGCGTCATACATTGGTGTGACTCGAGTATTGTCATTTCATGGATCAAGGGTGATGTAGCTAAATTAAAAGCATTTGTTGCTAATAGAATAAATGAAATTCAGGACTTAACGTCACCTGCTTCGTGGCAATATGTTCCAACAAAACAAAACCCAGCGGATCTCATATCAAGAGGTGTTGATCCATGTGAATTAACATCTTTATCTTTGTGGTGGTCTGGTCCAAATTTCTTAAATGAAAATGAATCAAACTGGCCAAAACTTAATCCTAAATCAAAAATCATAGACATGACCGAGCTAAAATGTCATCATGCTGCTACATTTAAATCCATAATAAATTTTGAAAGATTTTCCAAATTTGATAGGCTTGTAAGGGCATTTGCATATGTCCGGAGATTTTTAAATAATTCTAAAAGTACCAAAACTAAGCTAACGGAGGATATATCTTTCGAGGAGTTCAATAAATCCTTTGGTGAGCTAGCTGTTATAGCTCAAAAACTGACTTTTCCAGTTGAGTATGATTTGCTTTCAAAGGGTAAGCAGATAAATGCTACAAGTAAGCTCCTTTCTCTGTCACCATTCGTTGATGAGAACGGCGTTATAAGGGTTGGTGGGAGACTGAATTCTACAGAATACAGTTTCGAAAGGAAACATCCCATTCTTTTACATTCAAGTCATAGACTCACTAAACTATTTTTTGAAAAGGAACACATTTCTCATATGCATGCCGGACCACAACTACTACTTGCAGTCGTACGAGAGACTATTTGGCCGATCAACGGGAGACATTTGGCTAGACGAACCGTTAACAAATGCGTCTTGTGTCGACGTGTTCGTGGGAAAACAATGTGTCCGAAAATGGGTAATTTACCCCCTCAAAGAGTAACACCTGACTTTCCCTTTTTGTCGGTTGGAATAGATTTTGCCGGTCCGTTTTACATACATAACAGAATGGGTCGCGGTAACAAATTATTTAAATCATACCTTTGTTTATTTGTATGTTTAAGATACAAATGTATACATCTGGAAGTTGTCAGTGACTTGTCTAAAAATGCTTTTATTATGACGCTTCGAAGGTTTATTGCCCGTCGGGGTAAGCCTATAGAGATATTTTGTGATAATGGTCGCAATTTTGTTGCTGCATCTAAAGAAATATCAGAATTTATTTCACTAAATGAAAAATCTCTGTGTCATTTTGCCAATCAAGAAAAACTTAAATTTATATTTTCACCGGCTTATGCTCCTCACTTTGGTGGGATTTGGGAAGCCGGAGTTAAATCTGCCAAATTTCATTTAAAACGTGTAGTAGGCAACAGTCACTTGACTTTTGAGGAAATATTAACTTTATTTGCGCAGATTGAGGCAATTTTAAATAGCCGTCCCCTATGTCCCTTATCCTCTTCTCCTGAAGACTTTCATTACCTATCTCCTGGTCACTTTTTAATCGGGAGACCGCTTACATCACTAGCTTCGTGCGACTTGCGAGAAACTAAAGAAATCAGCCTGCAGCGATATCAGCGCATTGAAAAAATTCGCCAACATTTCTGGGCGAGATGGCAAAGGGAATACGTTGGAGAACTTCAGCAACGGACAAAATGGCGCATCGATGCTGCAAAGCTCAGCCTGGGTGATATGGTCATAATCCAAGAAGATAATGCTCCACCTCTAAATTGGCGGCTGGGACGAGTTGCCCACTTATATCCTGGAGCTGATGGAGTTGATCGAGTGGCAGATATAAACACAGCAAAAGGACTTGTTCGAAGACCTCTTGTTCGATTGTGCCCTTTACCAACAGCTGAAGAACTCAATTGTTGAAAGCAGTCCTTTCAACGCGGGGGAAGATGTTAACGCTGGACAAACTCCTATAAAACTTTTCACAGCAATTGTACCGTCACATATTGCTATTACTTTTATTACATGATGGACAACCGCAGAATTAATATTTTGTATACCTTCACTTAATAATTACAATTGTACTAAGCAATACGTAGCTCTGCGATATATTTTTGATTTCATAAAATATTGTTAAAAAACACGTTTTGGGTTTCATTTGAGACTCCATTGTGTCCACTACGAGACAATAAGATAATTCTATACATCACCATAATTTCATTATCGTTTAAAATCGAGACTGTTACAATATTTAATTTAAACTACGAAAATAAACCTGTACACTGCTTAATTCTGTCAAAAAATGTATAAACAATATGCAAATAATGACTTACGGTGACGAGTTATGCAGTTTAGGATTCTTCAAGCTTAATTTGTATTCTTCTGATAGATTATTGTAATCCTCAAAAGAAAGCGGCTGGCGGCTTTCAAAATATCTAAGAGCAAAAACAAAAAAATGACATTTATTATGTACAAAAAACGGGAGTGTAACCCTCCAATCGAATCGTTCAGGACAGCTATCGCTTTTGCAATCAAAATTTACGACTCTGGAGGTTAATGTTATCACTGTAGGCTCTAAATTGCATTATTGCTAGTATTATATGAAATAAACATATTACCATATCTTATACATATATATAAATAAATAAGAATCGTCAGCTCTTTTTTGGAGAACTAACGAACTCATTGATGCAAAATTTTCATTAAATAATACAATATATAATATAAGTATGCGACAAAATACTGCCAATCGAAGTATTTTCATTGAAATTTCTCGCGATATTCAGTCCACACGCCCCAAAGTATATTTGTTCGAGCGACTGGAAACAATCGACTCGATTTTCCAATTTTACTGAAGGGGACGGTGGCACACAGTTCGAAGAAACTCAAATGCTGGACAAATGCAGACGCGAGTAATGAACGCTGACCATTAATATTAAAAAGAAAAGTTGCGACGTCATTAACTTTCACCAAATATCCACTATAATTGAGGGAAAAATACTGCTAAAAAACGGCACAAGTTATTTATTTAAATCTAATATTTTAAAATACATACCTCTGAAGGGTATCATTGTAGTTAAGTTGATTGTAACTAGGTGGGGTTTCAGTGCTGGACTTGCTGTCATTGCAGTCATGGTGGGGCGATATACCACCCAACATAGAATCTCTCTCCTGCATAACATTTTAACAGTTTTATAAATCACTTAAATGAATACAAAACTACAACGACTGCATAAATAGATAGTTTTATTATGTCGACTTCCAATTTAACATATCGGAAGGATATTTTATTCAACGAGGGCACCCAGTCTTAGCGTATGATTAAAATAATAAATTACAATCGACCCGTAACGTTTTATTTAAATTATTATCAGTTATAATTTCAATTGAAATGTTATACTAGCTGTTCTTCAAGTTGGCCGCCAACGACTATTGCTAAATGACGCCATAAGCATAATAACTGATACCGTCGACCATGTATTTTTACTCGACTTAACTTTCCATCAGTTAAAGAGGAGTTGGGAATTGATATTTTTGCTTTCTATTATCAAACTTAGCGTAATAAAAGAGAAAAGAGAAGTAATAGTGACCAGCCCGGATAGAGTACGCGATGGCGTTGCTAACGGTACTCAGAGAATCTGCTTGGACATGCGGTGTGCTAAAGCGAAGAGGGTGGGATCGGCCAACTCGAAGCGAACGGCTGGTAAGAAATAATGTGTTAGAAACACTTGGTGACATATAAAATTGGGGGAAAAGTCTTTTCGCATATGATATGCATAAACTTGAAATAAAGTCTTTCTGGCTACCATTTGTATCTGGCTGGTTTTGGTATCATTCAAAAGTTTAAATTATTGAAGATAACCCCGAATTCAAATTAGAAAAGTGTGTGATATTCTTACTGTCTAAATGAGTGAATCTAATAAAGAAATTCAATATATTTTAAAATTTCATTACACAAAAGGTAAAATTCAATGTATGACGCAAAAAAAATTGTTAATTTTATGAACCTAGTGCAGTTTGTGTGAGAGTAGCACAAATTTTGGTTTAAAAGTTTACACTCCGGAAATTTTGATGTCAACTGGTGATGAAAAGTGGATCACGTACGACAAGAACGTACGAAAAAGGTCGTGGTCAAAAGTCAGGCTTCATAGACTATTGCGAAACGCGAATTAATTCACAACAAGGTGATGCTGTGTGTTTGGTAGGATTGGGAGGGCATTATTCATTATGATCTGTTACCGCCAGCCAGGACCATCGATTCTGAACTCCACTGCGGTCAGATTAAAGCAAGAAGTTGAGAGAAAGCGGTCAAAATTAATCAATAGAAGGGGTGTGGGTTTTTCATCGTGATGACGCTAGACATATATCTTTTGCCACTCAGCAAAAGTGAAGAGAGTTTGGCTGGGAGGTGTGAATGCATCCGCCTTATAGTCCTTATTATCAGTTACTCCAAAATTTCTATAGCAATGATCATGTCCCTACTACCTACAAGATGGCAAAAAGTTATCGAACAAAATAGTACCTACATACTTCAGTTAAACTTAAATAAACTTCATTAAAAAATGTTTTGAATTTTCATATAAAATGCGAAGAAAGTTTTTTCCCAACCAAAGTATAAATTTGTTTACAAATACAAAATTAAATATTAAATAACGTAGCAGACTAATTTACGGCATAGTAAATCTCAACTCGAGTTGTAGATGATATGGATATCAGGAAACCCGCCTAAATAACAGACGATTGTGAGTTATTATAATAAACATAGAAATGAGTATAATATAATAGAATATACATAGGTACTTTATATATTTACTTACTAAAAGATCAGATAAGGATCTATAGTTATAACAAGTGATTTATAATATTTTAAAGGAATTTCAAACAAAATGATGGCAAACTCGCTTACATAAAATAAAAATAAGTATTTAATTACTAATGTTACCATGAAGCTCCTAATTAATACACATATGTAAAAAATATGGATAAACCGTTACAAGTTAAATAAATGAGTATGATATATTTATCTTTATCTGTATTCAAACGTAATGAACATACTTGCTGCTGCGTAGTAGACACTGTGTTTTTTTTTTTTGTTGTAATATTGGTGTCATCGCAAATAATTTTCGATGTATAAAAAGTATTTTTATTATATTTTTGTTGAACAATTCAGATTTTAATTCGTCCTAAACATTACCATTACTATGAAATATGTTGAAGTATTTAGTAACAACTAATCTAGTTACTTACAAAGTAGTTCTTGTCCTGATCATTAATCTTCACACGCAACTCGGCGTCAGCCTTCGGTTCCTCCATGAGGATTTCCATGAGAGATGCAATCTCTTGGCACCGTTTACTCATCTGCTGTTTGGCTAACTTAGCCGGCTTCGTTAAAACCTATATTGGACTTTAATTAGTGACAATCAAAATTTACAATGTGCATAACATACATAGCCAAATTGTATACAACTAGACTTTAGTACCTTATCTAAGAAATTAAGGCTAAATTAAAAAATATACTTACAGATCATTAACAAATTACAAATCAACAATGAGCATTCAAAACATCTCAAGTAACAAAAATATGTTAATGAAATATAAGTTGGCATCAATAATATATTATGTTTGGGGATATGAACACGTGATCTATTTACTCTGCTCATTCCGTGGAGGGCATCAAATAAGCTTCATAAGCCTCACTAACGGTTTGACAAAATTGTGTATCACAACAAGAATAAAACAGACATTTTCCAAAGATAAAGTATTACTTCGTTCATGATTTTGATCATGTTATTTCGCATCCCTTCTTGCTTTTTCTTTTCTTCTTCGGTAACTTTTGGCATCTTTTCCGCTTCAGGCGTTTGGAATACATCTGGGTTGGTGGGGCCCTGTAAATAGTTTTTGTGGTTTGAGATACAAACAGTAACATTAGTTAAACTAGTACAATAAGTATGAATTGCTCCTTAATAGCAGTTTAAGTTATGGTTTGGTTAACATTGACTTCGGAATGCATTGCACCATCCTCTTAGTTGATATAGTAAAACAATAACTTGAACCATTGAAGCTTGATTATAACTCAAAGTTATGTCATAATTTAACTATTGCTAAACGGTGCAACTGAATATTTGGTTAACCGGTACTATAACATAATTGTAATAAAGTTAATAGGTGCAACCAACCCTCAGTGAGAGATCAAAATATGGCCATAATAAAATGCACAAGAGAATTATTTTTACATAGAATTATATTTTATTTTTGTTCGATAAATAAAATCAATAGTACATATCACAGTTTTCTTAATTTCCATTTAAACTAATTTTCATAATAAAACGAAACGATCTCTTCATAAAATAACGGTAAATAAAATTTGTTAGCACCCGATATACTCGTATTTACAACATTGAACATAAGTCAAATAAGGTTTAACAATATAAAAAAAAATATCACGGTATCTTAAAAATGGTATAAATATTCTTACCTCGAGTATGTGATGTTTTCCTATAACGAACTCTAGTTTCCGTGACCACGGATTTATGAAGGACGTCCACTCTGTTTCTAATTTAATGTAGTCTCCATTTTGAGTCATCATTCTAAAATCATTAATTTTTAGATCACTCATACATCATTGAATCTCATGATAATTAGTCCAGCCAGGCATGACAACAAATTTTACAAAACAAAAATGTATACAAAACAAATTTTATAGGAGGCTTGTGGATAAGGCAAGCATGCCAAAAGAACACAAATTCGTATATGTAGTTTGTACACATAGACACAGCATAATGTATGTGTAGAAATGATGTGTACAAGTTCGAGAGCGTTTATCCCTAAGATTATATATATATATATATATGTATCCATAATTCCGTTGAATACAAAACAAAATCATTGATTGCATAAAATCCGTTATATTATTATATCATGGAGATAAAAGTATTATATAATTTACTGTTGTGTTATGAGTATGACGTAAAGATGTGAAACGAATTTGCATGCTATTTTAATACGGTAGAACATTAGGACGTACATAAACTTAGATTTGAATGCGATTTTCATCAATATATAGGGTGATTAAAGAGGAAAGTTTATACATATGTATAATAAAGGACCACGTGGGCGAGCCGCTGGCGGAAAACTAGTGACTAACAAGACACTCGGAAAACACCTGATTTTCAATAAGACGCCCATACGTGTCCAATGACGCAATTATTAGTAACAGACAGTTTACTAATTCCCAGAATCTCCGTGCTTCGGGTGGCACGTGAAACAGTTCGATCTGGTTGCACTTGAATTCGTTAACTACCACCAATCCGCAAGGCCGGGGCAGGCCACCTCTCTAGTTGTAGGATACGATATTTCGATTCATTTTACTACTTTGAAACATCTTTTTGTGAGAAGACTAAAATACTTTTTCGTTCGTTATTAAAGACCCTATCGAAGAAGTAAAAGTCGCGGGAAAGCAGCTAGTGTTTCTTATAATCAATATAAAAAAATTGACAGCTCACCTGTAAGGATTAGACTTAGTTATGCCTCCTTTCTGAATTATAGTCTCGTACACTTGTGTTAGATAAGCGAGATCGTTTTGATGGTACAATTGCAACACATCTTTACCGATTATTTCTTGAGGTAAGTAACCCAGGTATTGTACCGACTCCGGATCAATATACTCCAGTTTGCCATCAGGTGAGTGTTGCATGATAAAAGGTTTAGCATTGACGATCAATTCTTTTGGTTCTAAAAATGAATTTAGTTTAATATAGCATACAAAAATATATAATCTTAAACACAAAACCCGTTATAAGTTCAGGTGGTATTGTTTTCACATGATGTTTTTTAATATGCAGTTTATGTTTTTATCAAACAGTTTATATTGACATGGATATCTTTTAGAACATTTACTAGACACGATTACTTTTCCTTCCCATATATTTTTCTTAGCACTTTCCAAATCACAGTCATCTAGGTTAGATTATGTTGGAAATAGACTATTTTGAACAAAACCTAATAAAATAAAATGCCGAGCTGGACGGAAGCAAGGCGAGATCTCTCTACGCAGAAATTGATTAAGCGTTTAAGTTAGGTTAGAACTTTGACCAAAACAAAAACCAAAACAGTTAATTAAGGGTCAAATATGTCACAGCCAACTAGTTAAAACAACCACAGGTGGATAGTTATCTATTTGACTCCAAACATTTTAACCTTATAAGAAGCGACACAAAATCAATTATAAATAAAGCAAATGTGTACTTGCCTTTGAAAGCTGAGAACAGAGCCGTTGCTTGAACGACCAGATAAATCACATCGCCAATTTCGTCACTGACTTTCTTGAAAGTGAGCTTCAAAAGGAACAGCATGTATGTAACCTTACGCTCCTTCACACCAAATCCTGACGTCAACCCCCGATATCGACGGATCCGACAGACCATCGTCGACATTGAACCGCTTCGTGAATGCACTAAAAATATTTTTATCGATAAGGTAAATAACCCGTCTTTTTATTTTCTCAAATAAAATTTTAAAAATTCATAGTATTTAAATTGTATTTGCGTCAACCAGTGTCGTTGTGATAATGATGAAAATCGTTGGGACTATCGATAGAATTATATCAAAACAACCCTTGAAAATAACATCGATAATATTATATAGCATATTTTTTATAACACATATGTGTTACAAAAAAAATCCTATAGCTGCAGTTTTGCTATTCTGTTAAAAATACAGCTTGGAACACAGTGATATTGCAGCATTACAGGTTCAATCAAATAAAACTGACAGTGCTGTAACAGAACAGAACTGAAGTTTTTAGTATCGATCCACTGAATCAGCGAAGTATTTTAAAATTCCTTTATGTAAAATAAAGTCCAAGTGTGTATATGAAAGAAATGAAAGTTTGAATATGAAAGAAAATACTGAAGACACACAAAGAATAATAAAAAACACGTAGGAGCTTCCGTTACCCCTAACAAATCAAATTGGGCCTTAGTGGTTTGATCCAAGTGTAAATTTGGCTTTAACAATATAAATTGCCTATTGATGCAGCATAATTCGCAACTATAAAGACTGTAGGTACTTGCTGCCGTAGTATTTTACAATAACTAATTATATTATACGTAAGTACTCTAGAAAAATTCCGATAGTATCGATATTATTACTTATATTAAAGTCCGACAAAAGTAGCACTATCGTTATAGCAACAAACACCACTGTCATCAATAATCCATCGTATATAAATGAGTTTGAATTAACATGTGACGTTATTGTTTTCATAATTGTATTTTTATTTTCACGTTGTAGCGTTTTGTAATACAATGGTTTTATCAAATTTTAAAGTATAATTTTGGGAAAAGCTTAAAAAATTACGATTATCACATGCGGGCTAATTTCATTTCATCCCGCCAGGTATTGAAGGTTGGACTTTGATAATGCCGGTGACTCAGCATTCTTTACTGTGTCAACAATCAATAAAGAAAACAACGCATAACTTTTAACCAAGTTCGTCAATTAACAACTTTATCATTATACAACGCCGAGAATCTTTTCTGTATACTCTAGTGGTCCCGCTTTCAATAATTAGAACTTCAGACCTACCGCACGTAATTAGGTATATCTAAGATCGCATCGCATCAAGGGAGTAAAGGAATTAGTACTGATCAACATTATCAGCCTATTTGCATCCCCACTGCTGGGCTGGGGTTGATTATCTAATTTTAAAATCTAATCCCTCTCAAAGGCTTAGCGATTGTAATACCGTTATATGGGAAAAATTAACTTTGAAAGCCGCAATCACTTTATGAACGATGATAATTTAAATGATCAACAAACATAATATAAACTTATCTTACATTTAAATGATTAAAAAATATTATCTAAACGCAATGCAATACGGGTGTAGACAGTAAACGAAATTAAATACATTTTTTTTTTCTGGTAGTGATTAATACAATGTTACCTATAATCACACTTTTATGCTAACTATATTTATAATATTTCTTAAATTAATTATGAAAAAGAAATATTTTATACCAGTTGACCGCAAATAGCGCGTGACATCACGCCCTTCTTACTCATATCAGAACTTGAAGAATTAAACCTTATGCATAGGTATATAGAAGGATATTAGTTTTAGAAGAGCGTGGCGTCAAGCTGACGTTTTTACGAGAAATTTTGGGAATACAATTTATTTTTAGTTTTTAACTTATACTTTTTTTTAAATATTTTTTGTTTATATTTTTATGTATATCTATAAAATAAAAATATATAAAAATTTTGTATTCACCCCTATTAGCAAACAACTCTTTCGATTGACATTTCTCAATAGCTTTCAAAGTATTACTTGCCTCTAATGCCTTAGCCAATTTCAATTGATATCATTTAAAAGAAAAAAAGGTATGAAGAACGTGAATATCTTAAAAATGTAAAAAACGATTTTAAAATAAGACAATTAGTAGGACAATCTTGCTAAGTTAGCTTAATTAAGGAAAGTGGATCGCGCTTTTATTACAACGCAATGATTTGTGAGGAAGACATTGCATTAATAATTTTGAACTTTATGTACACACTACAATGGCGAAATTAAAGCCGTTAAGATTCTATTGAGATGAGATTATTACGTAAAAATTTGCAAAATTCAGTCCTAGGCCCTGGTCAAGTCATCACTATGGATGGATTCAAATTACAATAATAAATCGTGAGCAACGACATATCAGGTCCACTCTGCCAAATAAAAAGAAATGCATCTGAAGTATTGTAGTTACGAGATAAAGGTAATATGTACTGTTGATCAGTCTAGGTTAATAATTGTAAATCTAAACGTTAAAAGCATTATGGCAAAAGTTCGTTGGTTCCATTATTTTGGCATTAGACTGGCAGTACCTAGTAAAAATATTTCAAGGCATGTACATAATTAATATCTGAAATATATGTACTACATTTATACCTTCTTAATATATAGCAAACTCTACACACAGCAGCTACCGTTTTCAAATTGATGACAGAATTGTATATTTATTGAAATTTGATATTTAAATGAGATATTTTGATACCATTATCCTGTTATCGTAATAATTACCTTTCTCTTGCGAACTATTAACAGATGTAGGCACAGCAAGGCCTTTTGTAATTTGAGACGCAAAGGTATTTCTATCCTGCAACAAAAGCATATCTATTATATAAAAAATGAACGCACTATAGTAATAGTAGTAACCAACACAAATGGCTTTAAACACGCCCATCTAGGGTAAAAGCCGGATAGTTGCCTCGGAAGAATGCTTGCCTCAGTTTCGAATACTTTTGTTGACCGTGTTTATACTTAATTATAAACGGAAGTGCCCCCCGCGTAGTTCTGGGTGTCGCATAAGCCGTTGTAATAGACGCGCGTGGTTTGTCTGCGCGTGGATTTAGGTTTAAATTGCACTGTTTATTACTTTTTATAATTAAATATCTTTTTTTTTTAATAAATAGGGCAAGTATCCGTTTCAAAAAGGATAGTAGCCCTATTGAATTTTGCGAGTTGCCTTAGGGCAAAAAACTGTAAATATATATTTTTTAACGAGCAAAGACAGATTTTGTTTTTCTTAGTGTTTTTGCATTTCGTTATACTAATAAAAGAAATACCTACTCAAGATACAGAAGACAGTTTAGCACTTGCGTTCTAAGAACTAGATAAAAAACCCTGGCTTCTGGTGATAGTAAATGCTAATGCCAAAATAGATGATTATATTTCTTCATTTTTAAAATTAATACTTTATAATTTAATTTGTACCGAATAAAGGATCTCAGTAAATAATAAAGACTGTATACTAACTTAATCGATGATAATGTCAAAGTTAATTGTCATATTGTTCTATCTTTAAAATGTAATTATATTTCATTAATATTTTGGATATCTAAATACCATTTTGGTGTCTATTCTTGTTGTAATTTTATAATTACAGTTTAACTTTAATTATTAATTAATATATTTATTATTAATTAATTACTTTAATGAATATAAGTTAATTTTTATTTGAAAATACATAGACAGGCATCTATCCTCAGATAAGGCAAGTATCCCCTGAAACTTTTTAACGCTAAGCTACTATCCGCCATAGCAGGCAACTATCCCCTTTTATAGAGGTAAAATAAAACAGGATTTACCCAAAACTAATAATATTTATATAAAAAATGGCTACGATAATAGATTAATAAACAATGTTCAAGAATAGACTTTGAATAAAAAAATAACTAGTATACATTTTTTATAAAAGAGCTTTATTAAAAAGTGTGGAAGCTATCCGGCTTTTACCCTATGTGTTGAAAATATGAAGTGAACTTCATAAGAGTTATATTAATTTGCCATCTGTTAAAATTGCCGTTAAATTGAATGTGGCCATACAACTAAGCGACTGATAAGAACGCTAACACTCAAATTTATTTATATTTCAAATAGCACTGATTAGTTTGTGACTCTTACAACATCGGCTAGAACTTTAATTCCAGTTTGTGATTTAAATACAAATTATGGATAATTCACAAAACACTTCACTTACTTTAATATGAATAAAGTCTATGAAAGATCGACCAATCCACATATCTTTCGGGAAGCCAAGTGTAGCCGTTAGAGATGGCGTGGTGTACATAACGACACCATCGTGCATAGATATAACACAAGAAAATCCATTCTGGAAGAAAACACATAATATAATGCAAAACTCCCCTTTAAAACCTATAATAGGTAAATCTTCTATTAGAACAGGAAAAGTCTGTAAGGTAAATGAATAATTTAGATTTAGTAGAAATAAACAACATACAACAAGAGGCATTTTTTAAGATTATATTCTTAAAAAATGTATAATACTTATGCAATATAATACCAATTGATATAATATACTAACAGATTTTGCTGATGAATTGCCTATAGGCATGAAGCATGAAACGACCTGAAAGCAAAAAACATCAATAATCAGGCGTCACATAGCTGGAGCCTATCACAATATTTAGTCTCTTCAAACACACAGGAAATTAATACATACGTATGTACATACGTGTTCATGCGTTGACAAAACTCGTAAACAAGGAACAGAGAAGCTGTCAGTGTATCGACAAGTATAAAAGGAAAAAGCATTTATGTGTACATTCGCCTCTTTTACCTGAGTTAGCCATTTAAGATGTCAGTATTTTACCATAGATTTTGTCTTAACAGAAAAATCCGTTTTCAAGTTCCACATAGATCACATTTAAGCCCCTGGTTGCATATACATAAATTATAAGTATGTAACAACAACAAAAAGTTTATCTTTCTAATATCTGTGAGTATGTTTGAAAATCTCATATAACTCCTAAGAATTAATATAAATGTTATTGGAAAACAATATAGTCATACAAATAGTTACTTTAAAATGGGAATGTCATCCAAACATTTGCATTCATACTTAAATTATAAGGGTCAACTCAAACCAAGGAGAAAAATGCTGGAATACTAAAAATATTTAAATATCAACCTCATCCTACACATATTTATATTTAACCTGTTATACGTTTAGATGTCACTTGCTTGCTTGTTATTATGACTTTTAATGAAATTATATGAACATAAAGCACAAACAACTAAAACGTTCTTTGAACTCACTAACCAACCATACCATAGTATTTTAACAGAATTAATTTCGTAATATCCAACAATACAAATTCCCTATCTACGGCTAAAAATCACACAACGAATCCCGTCGTTTCCCAATGGCGCGACAGCTACTCCTGCTACTCTACTTCTATTTTGATCGCTATTATATCTAGTTAAAAACATGAAAATTCATAATAATTGTATTATTATACTATCCAGTTACAAACAGCAGCAAGTGTGACAATAAGTCATTATGATTATAAATTATTGTCTGTGCAAGATAACAGGTTAAATCACCCAATGAAAATTAATGATAAATTTAGCAATCATTACATGCCTATGTTTGTGACTGAAACAAGTATTTTCTACGATTTTAACTGATCTGCGATAGCTTAGTTTAAATTTAAATGAACGAATATTTTCCTTAGTTCGTGGTGAGACCCATTGGTTGATATTAAGCCGTGGCTCTAAAATATCCTACTCCTTTATTTATTTGTTGAAAACCAATCAAAAGTTAGTTAAAATTGGTTGGGTGAAGGGGCGCCCTTTTATACTTATAAGAAATCAAATATATAAATCATTTATAATTAATATTGACGTATTTTAGAGCTACGGGCTTTGTGTTAATAAAGTACTCGAACATTTTCAAAAATGAACGGCTTGGCATAAGTTCACCTTAAGAATGATAAATACCTCCTCCTTGCTATCCACTGAATCAAGAGGGACTATATCAGTAATGTCTAGTCCATCATCTGCTTGCGAGACTTCTAATACAGCGGTAGTATCCACTGCAGAAAAAATAACAGACGGAAGATAAACATGAACCTAAACAGGTGCCAATTAAAATAAATATCTGAAAAATAAAAATCTATCTAGAGTAATCGTAAATATAATTTTGTAAGCAACCTAATTGTACGTGTCCTCCGGTCAGTTCGAGATTAGTCTTCCAGATAAATATAAAAATAATATACCTATAATATAGTCCATTTGTATTGCCCATTGAATATAATTATAGATACCAAATAAATTTATTAAATTAAAAAAAGTAAATAAATCTATGTGTAGTTCACGTGAATCCAATTTAATGGGAGAAATTAGTCTAAGGGGGTTTCGAATATCTACTAAGAATACGTATTAAAAAACCTAGGTGTCCTGCCGATATGATTTTTTTTTTCATAATAGCGAGCCGTCAAAGAACTTGCGAGTGTTTGTGTTTGAACCAATAGAATAAAAATATATGAGGCATAAACATGTCCCAAGTACACGAATAGTAGCAGAAACTCAGAAGACATATTATATCTACGTAACTAATATGATTTCACTTATGATATATACTCTTTCATTCATCGTAACATACACAGTTTTTTCATATATATTCTATTTTTCATAATTTTCGATTTGTAAAACTTGTTCTACGAACGTCCTGTTGCTGTAATTTTCTCTTCTGCCAATCATTTACTGAAACAGTTTCACTTACCCTATTTTTAGTTCTCCCTCTTTTGTAAAATTTTTTGTTCACGTTTGTATAACTAAAATTTAAAATTCATTTTCACAGTCTAAAATAATATACGAAGCAGATCAGGCCAGTATATAATAAAAATAGAAAATGGAGAATCATCACATCTGGGGCAGGCCAGTGGAATACAGCCTATAATGAAAATAGCCTATTATGTCAATCATATATATTGATAGAAAAATGTTATTCAGTATCCATCATAAGTGCGTAATACAGCGTGTAATAGAAAGGTGCGGTGGAACTTTAGGAAGACATCAAGGTTTAATGACGCCTTTAAGCTCAAATGAATGTCAATTTTGTATGGGTAATGTCGCTTTAAACCGAAGACAATTTAAATGGACGTTCGTGCAACTGGCCGACTGTATATCTGACAAGGATCCTCCTATACATAAAAAATTCAGAGCTTTGAAATTTTCTTTAAAAAATGGGATAGCATTCTACCGATATCTAAATATCGACTCTGATTATTTATAGCACTAAACATCTCGGATTGGAAGTAATACGAATCACCTATTTCCTATTATGTGAAACACCTTGCTATTCTAGGCTTGTCTGTCAAAATCAAATGACAGGGCTAATCTAATTGAACGTTCCATATTTCAATTTGTCAACTCAAGTTAATTTTATCTTTTTTTAAAATAGGTGAAGCGAAGGCAAATAACACGTTTAAGTTTTTTTAAATAAGCATTTAGCGCTTTACTCTTCTTAACATTTCTGAGGTTACAAAGTAAAAGCATGTGTGATATACTAAATTATTTACACTTTCGAATTCAGGTGTGTACACAACTTTTGATTTTACTCGACAAAAAAAAAATTCAACGGCGTCAAGTCAGACGAACACCATAATGCGAAAGCAGTCTCTTGAAGGAAATGGACGGCGTTCTACTCCTGGGTATACCAACGATAAATCAGTGCTCCGTCCGCTGCTCCAACACACAACCTTTATAATAAAGTTTATTTACATTTAACTAAAGTACGTAGGTACCATTTTGTTCGAAAAACTTTTGTCATTTTGTAGGTAGGGACATGATCCCATTGCTGTAGAAATTTTGGAGCTTCTGATAAAAAACCGACACGTGTTTTTGCAGTCCTCGTGTGATGTAAACCGTGACACTACCTAAAAAATTATGAAGAGACCGAAACAGGTCGAAAACTGAAGGTCACCTCCCAGCTAAACTCTCTTAATTGTTGCTGAATGGCAAAAGATATGCATGGTCTAGCGTTATCATGATGAAAAACCACACCCCTTAATTTCATTAATTCTGGCCGCTTTCTCTCAACTTCTTGCTTTAATCTCATCAGCTGTTCGCAGTAGTTTAGAATCGATGATCCTGCCTATTGGTAACGGCTCATAATGAATAATACCCTTCCTAATATATACAACATCACCTTATTGCGGGTTAGCCCGGGTTTCGCATAGTCTGTGAGTCAGATCGGTACCTTTGACCACGACCTATTTGCTTGTCTTACGTAATCCACTTTCCATCACTAGTTATCAGTTTCTTTAAAAATGGTTCGGTTTGATAAAGCTGTAATAAAGAATCACAAATGAGTACACGGCTCATTAGGTTTCTTTCAGTAAGCTCGTGAGGTACCCTAATATCGGACTGATTTTGTGTACCTATCTTTATTTCAAATGCGCCAATACTGTTATGTGGCCAATCCCCAGTTCTTCAGCTAAGTCGTAACTACTGATATGCCAATCTTGCTCCACTTTTTCAAAAACGGCATCCAATTTATTCGTAACAGGGCGACCACAGCGACGTGCATCTTTGACATCAAAATTTCCGGACTGAAAACGCTTAAACCAAATTTGTGCTACTGTCGCAGAAACTGCACTAGGTCCATAAACGCCCAAAAATTGTTTCGAGGCTTGCACTGCATTTTACTTTTTATGTAATAATATTATAAAATGTATCGGATTTCCATATTAGATTCACTCATTTTTACAGTAATAAAAACGAATGGTTATCAGTCATTTTCCTAATTTTAATTCGGAGTTATCTTCAATTATTTTATTACAAGTTATGCATACTACATGCTTTTTCCCCAACCTAATAATACCGAATAACTCAAAAACCCATTTTTTGTTTAAACTCAACTCAACATAAAATGTCAGCTTGAATGTTCTTTTTATTCATCATAAGAGTTTGTTTTTGTTAATGAGAAGCCAATCTAAAAATGAGTGTTTTATCGATTCATATAAAAATTAAGGTAAAAATAACTTAAACCCGACCACAGCTAAGTCACTATTCAATAATAAGTTTAGCTATTCTAATAAAATTATTAAATTAAAAGCTCGAACTTTGGTCTGCCCTTTGGTGTAAAGGACCGTTATGAGTTACATAGTGTCTCCCTAAAATTCTACTGCACCTTTCTGATACCCCTGTATGCCTTTATACGAGAATAGACTTTATTTGTCTGCGATCTCGTAAATGATTTGATATTAAAATCTTTTCCGATATTATATCAATTAAAAATGCTACTTGAATTTTGACGCGAATTAATAAGTCGTGTATCAACATTGTCAACTGATTAATAAAGCCATATATTTGAAGAGTCTCTCAATCGAATGGCGTCATTCACTTTGATGTTTCATTTTCTAGTTAAATAAATTATTTATAAACGTTAAATAGAAAGGCTGATTTAAAAGTCACTGTCACATTCATTTAGTATATTTCTCCACCACCACGGGCTAGCTTCGCTTTATTTTAAAACATTCAATAGGTTCAGCTTATTTAAAAGCAGAAGTATCGCAGTCAATTAGTATTTATCTCCACCACCACGACACTAAGTTTACTTCATTTAGATGAGTCGGTCTACGTTTTTGTGAAAGAAGATAAAATTGCCTGCTGTAATTATCAAATGAAAATGAACATCAAGGTAACTTTATTCTGCTGTTGATTTTAGATTATACGATTTCCAAGTTAATAAGAATATAACTAGTTAGCTGACTTACAACTGATCAACGTATAGTCTTATAATTGAATGGCGCCATTCAATTAAGGGGCTAGCCGCTAGTAGAATTGAACGGCTATTTTATCCAATTGGCTGCGACAAATACAAATTGAACGTACCGCGAGGCTTTCTGCCCAACCGAGCAGTCCCGTGATGTTGAAACAAATTGAAGCTACCGCTCAACTACCACTTAAATAAGCTGCCCTGCAACACAGGTGTACATCAGAAGTGGAAATTTTATTGCTGTAATAATTACCTTTTCCACCTTGGACTTTTTTAATCTTAACCACCCCTAAATTAAATAAAGACTATAAAATTTATTACTTTTTGAAGCAGCTAACGTTATCTTTGATAGATTATAAACTACCTCTTTGAAAACTCATCTCAATAACTTAATCTCGTTAATATACTTTACCTTATCACAAAGTATACAATGGCCCTGTACTAAACTGGACACGTGCGACCTAAAGAATATAATAAAAGAGAATACATTTTTCTTACTTAAATGCAAAGAAAAATAAAAAATCCTAATAAGCTAACCGCTAAGACCCAAGCACACTATAACGCAGCAACGTGCGGTACATTTGATCTCACGAAAAAAAGAGAATATTATATGCTGCCTTACACTAAATAAGACAGTGAATAAATAAATTATGTCATCAGTCCCTTACGTGATTTTAGCAAATATTAATTCAAAATATGAAAACTACTGAAAACCGTACGTACGATGCGTAGTTGTCTCTTCTTAACCCGCAAGGGATATAAAGATATAGGATAAAAAACCATTAAATATGGAGGCAATAATACTTAAGATTTCTTTGTTATTAATGGTAATGGTAATTAATGGTAAACTATGGAGTTTAACTAAATTTTGCTCATAAGATGTACATATGTAATTTTTAATAAAAAAATAAAAAACGTAATAGTGCGGCTTGACCTTAAAACAGAAAAAAAAATGTCGTCGACTTAAAATAAAAATCTTTTTTTTGAGTACATACATTAAATAAAAGGAATAAAATGTATTCTCTTAGATTAATCTAATTAGTGAAAAAAACAATAGTAATAATAAATTTTTAAAAATTACTCTTTTCGAAATTCCATTATTTGTTTTACATATTTACTTTTTAGATACCTCACTTCTTTATAATTAAGCAGCTATAAAAATTGCACACACGAAGATTATTTATGCCAATAAATTACGTTACTAATAGAACCAGTTTATTTTTATTAACTAAATTCGTCAAATCTAAATATACTATAACCATGATATCACATGAAAATGGTGAATTTGATGGTGAATTCACATAAATATTATAGTCATAATTGAATATTTTATTCGATTCGATAATAACCTAATTTCATAAATATGCACAATCTGTTCTGAGTTAAGCCCACGTGATAACAATTTAAAACAAAAGTTCGAATTATTGCGAAATCTTCATGAGAACATATTTTTAGAACATCGCAACAGTATTAGTACTTAATACAAAAACAATCGTAAACAAACCTGAGCCTTATTAAAAAAATAACGAAAAAGTTTTACCGGTTCACGAGGGTTTCTTTTAAAGAAAGTTTTCTAAAGTAAACAATGAATTTGAAAGAAAAGCCTTATAAATGACGTCCGAATTTTAAAGCGTAATTTTCAGGAAACGCGCATTTCTACTAAGAATACTGATAAAGTACTACTTTAAGAGTCTAAATGTGTCAAATTTTATAAATTAACTAAGAGCTCAAACAACAAGACTCAATACACTAGAATCCGAAGGGAAGACATGCTCTTTATCTACATGTACGAAGCTTGGGTAACATATGACAATAATATCTTATATCCACACTACCCACCTTCAATCGCCTCCGCTTTCGGTTCCTCAAGATTACTCTGTATTTCTGTAATGGACTCGTTCTCAGTCTGTGGCTCCGGGGCTTCAATCAGCACCGACTTCTTTTTCTTACAGTCCTTCTCTTTTGACCTTTTTGCTGGTGGTGGTTTACTGTTTGATGTTACATAAGGAAAACGATTTTTTGATAGTAAACAAAAATAACTTACAAATAACTGTAACCATACTTGAAGTTATCCTACTAAAAGTATATCCGCATACAATATACAATTCTACTAACCCGCTGCCAGATGTTGACGGTTGACCCCCATAACCGCTGCTACCACTGGAGTTACTGCCTGAATGAGTTGACTTGGAGCACCGACTGAAATCAAAGGGCACTATTTAGATCTTTGTATAAGAATACACAGTAATTATAATCCTATAGCTTTATTGTAGTCCTTCAGGGATAATCTTCTGTCTATATTAATAAAACAGAAGTTTTTTTATGAATTTAACGTTCTCTCATTACTGAAGCACCCACTTTGACTACGGTAGCAAATGAAACTATAAATTGTTGGAAAATATCGGTGAATATATATATATATATATATATATATATATATATATATATATATATATATATAACTCAAAGGTGACTGACTGACATAGTGATCTATCAACGCACAGCCCAAACCACTGGACTGATCGGGCTGAAATTTGACATGCAAGAAGATGTTATGACGTAGGCATCCCCTTAGAAAGGATTTTGATCAATTCTACCCCCAAGGCGATAAAATAGGGGATGAGACTTTATTGCAGGTATTTTACACGATATAATGAATAAACATTCGTTTGAAGTGCTGCTCAAAGTAACTTTACCACGAGGACGAAGTCGCGGGCAAAAGCTAGTATGTACATAAAACATATCACCGTCGAATTTATATGTCCTTCTTCCTTTTTAACCGACTTCAAAATCAATAAGGAGGAGGTTATATATACTTTTGTAAGAAAAAAGAGTATGTTACAATATTTCATATAGGTAACTAAGATAATCGTACTATTTGAAATTTATGTTGTTTAATAAATTATTATTATTATATTAATATTATTATTATTCCAATATCATCAATACCTTCTCGACTGACTGTTGCTACAGCTGATAGAATAGCCGGAATCCGAAATTTTCGCATTATTATCCGAATCATCTAAGTTATCCATGGTGGCAAATTAATGAATCTGAAACAAAAAATTGTCACTGTATTTAACAGAAGGAATACATCCTATCAACAAGAATACAGAGTCATAGGTAATCATTTATTTTCAGGTTAGGCAATGAATTCGCTATGAAACTTCGGTTCATTCTGTCGGTCTTCTTTTTCAGGTGCCTTTTTTTTGTACCCAAAATAGGCACCTGAAAAAGAAGACCGACAGAATGAATTAGACTATCGAATTTACTTTTTTGAAATATTAGAACAACACCACATACATTGCACTAAACCAAATTGAGGAGCTAAAGTAAGACCAGAGACATAAGAATCCTTGTACTATGGAAATGTAAAACAGCGAAGATAACATATACTCCAGATCTGAGACAAGATGGAAAAGTTAATTTTCTATATTGATTCGACTGAGATTTGACCTCAGAGATGGCGACGCAACAGCCCATTGAAACCGGCGGCATGCGATAAATTCGGCGGCGGAGGTCGTCATCAATTCATTTCAATGGACGTAGACACAATACAAGCGGTGTAATAATTCATTCACTGTATTTTATCACACTAGCAGTAAACTGGTCTGGTTGTACCTTTATTCAGCAGTAATATTTTTGATGACTTAGCGGCGTTTATGGCGTTGCATTAAATGTATTCTAAATCACGCTATCGCTTAAGTTAGGGTTTGAAGTTTGTGTGGAAGTTAGTCATCATGACTTAATCATAAAACTTTGTATTTAGGTAATGTATAAATAATTATTTATTTTAACGCATTTGCAATTGCAGTGCAAAGTAACAACAGCACACGAAGTCACGGGCCAAAACAAGTATTGTTACAATAATATATATTTATTATTCTCTTAAAGAATATCCAGCATTGCTTTATTAACATAAGTAAAAAAGTTTAATATTTTAAAATAAAAAATCATGAATGCCAAATTATTGATTATATATATATTATTAACTAATGTGGTTCACGCAAGCAAGACAATCTGGGAAAATCAAACAACAGAGTCACCAAAATTATTCTAACTGCACGACAGGTTACCACAATGTGTCAGAATCCGACAATGAATTTTCACCTCTCCTTTAACGTGTTTAGGTTTAAAAACGAGTAAGCAAATTGACAGTTTTGTATAACCTGACGCGCTGATGACTGTATGTTTTAATAACAAATAAAACATCATAAAGATTTATTTATCGGTCTTAATAAAACGAAGATTAAAGTTAGTACTTGATTTAAACCGTTGATCATCTAAAGTAAATCGACAATAACAAAAGAAATAGTCAAATTCAGACGGGCTGACCTTGACCTTGTGCTGACTTATTTTGGTGGAATAACGGTTTAAATATGGCACTAAAAATATTCCTGGTATTACAATAAACGCATAAGCAGGCTATCAATAAAATCGCAAGCTGCAGAAAATTAAAAAAAAATCGACATGAATTGTCATTGGTATATATCTATACAAATAAAATTCGAGTGTCTGTTTGCAACAATAAATTAACCGCTTTTTACTAAATGTGTATGTTTATACGATGCATATCTCAAAATATATTTTACATTTTTGTCTGTATGTTTGTTCCGGCTAATCTCTGAAACGGCTGCACCAATTTTAATGGGACTTACTAGAGGACGACTACTTTCCACGCGGATTACCACATATATTAACGGCATATTAATATTAGCGGCAATCTGAACATATTAACTGAACTAAACTTAATTAACATGGTGTCTCATTTCAGAGCGAAGCTAATTGAACTACATACCTAAATAAATATGTATAAATACATACAGATTTATTTTAATGATACATACATAAAAATACATTCGCAAATTGCACCTATTCTAATTACATATGGTTATTTAAATTAATTTATCAGAAATAAGAATATCTCATCGACGATTGTGATTGGCACTATAATATAAATAATTTAATTGCTGATATCCCGCGATTTCATCCGCGTAATTTTGTATTTTAGCGTATTGTAGATGAAAGAATTTCTGAAGATCATCATGGCCAGCCCATCAATGTCCAGTTTTGAACATAGGCCTCTTCCAACTTTTTCCATGTCTGGCCGTTTTAAACCTTTTCCATCGATTACAAGCTGCGTGTCTTCGGATATGATCCACCCACATTTTTGTGGGTGTCCATCCGTGCCATATGTCCTCTTCTTAAATCTTATATATAAAAATGAATCGCAAAATGTGTTGGTAAGCGCATAACTCAACAACGCCTCGACCAATCTGGCCAAATCTTTTTTTAAAATGTTCGTTGAAGTTCAAGGATGGTTTTTACGGCGAGAAAAATTAGAATTATTGCTGGAAAAACCCTAAAAATAGCCCTTTTCTTTTTCCCATACAAATGATTTGTAACTAAAACGTAGTCAATTTGAGCTTTATTGCTATGGTATAAAGTTCATATTAAATTACAAGCACTCACTGTTGTCTAAGCAATGTAGGTGTGTTCCTAACGTCAAAGATCATATCTATCAAAACAATGTGCGTGTGTGCGTTGGAGCACAGAATACATAGTTGGAGGAGTTCACAACGCCCTATCACCAGGGTGACGGTTCTGTTCAGGAGAATTTTTTTAAATACGTAGGCAAAAAAACTGCCACATTACAAATCTTTTTGACAGGACGAAGTCTGTCGGGTCAGCTAGTAGTATTATGAAAATCGCCGCACACCTCATACCGGCCCTATCGACCAATGTAAATGAGCTTGCAGTAATGGATAAACCAATAGCAGGCAATGATTGCCTTCTGAAAATAAGCACAGAAATCGCTGCACTCCCCATGCGGGCCCTATTGACCAATGTAAACGAACTTGCATTAGTCGATAAACCAATGACATTAATAATAGAAGATTTTTAGTGCCCTCCGATCGAGTAATAAACAAACTGCGACTATTTGATGCAGACGATGCTCAAAAACGAACTTGTAATACTACTGAGCCGAATCCTCGCAGTCATGTTCGGTAGCGTGACGTCACACGCTGATGTACTGCATGAAGCGAAATTATTCTAGCAAGCGCTACTCCAAAGTCCCATGGCGTTTTTATGTTAATATTTAAGAAATATTCCACGGTACTTTGTGATTATGTTTATTCTTCATTTTGAATGGAAAAAAAAAAATAGTAAACTTGTCAATTCCATCAATCAGCACGCGGTCACGTTGTAATACACGTTTTCAGTTCTAGCTGTAGCTGCACACACTCCCCGCGTTTCACGTTGTTTGCAGTTTACCCGATCTAACAATAAATTTCCCTCAGGTTTCATATACTGTTATATAAAAAAAAAACATCAATCATCATAGGTGAACTCGCGAAGTAAAAACATATGATGTTGTTTCGAGCGACATATGTCAATTTTAATAAATACTTTACTTATAATCCCTATTAAATGGTAATACCTTGGTAAAAAAAAGGAGTTCTAGTTGGACCGTCAGTCAGATAATACAAAAACGATACTTCTTTTTTTTTCTTCAATAAATTAATTTAATAAGAAATAGCTTGAATAACATGCACTAAAGTTGAGGAGTGGGGCTCGCTACGTCACAGCTTTGTTTTTTTTAATTACAAAAACTATAGAATCTGATATACTAGCAGACATACGTTGCCGATTATAAAAAGAATATCATTCAAATATAATTATTTTTGAAGAACAACAGATGTATCATACCTAAAGCTCAACATCCGCAGAAACACCCAGGCATAACAAAAATTTTAGTCACACATCCAGTTTTGTTTCAGATAATCATTGATCGCAAAACTGTATTGTATGTACCTCAGTATGTTCCATCACGGACATTTCCGCTCTGCGACAAATATGGCTAGCATCGCTTGCGCTTAGGCTAGCGTAAAAATCTCCAACGCTTCATTGATAGATAGATAGTTATAAATTTACAGCCATTAACAATAGCATGCAAATGTAGTAAAAGAAGATACTATAAGCACTAATTAATCCACCCAGGCTACCGTTCAGTTTCTATAGTCTAAGACTCATGCAACGAATAAAAGGAATGCTCAGCTCAGTTATATAACTCTCTCTTAAATCTAGTAAAAGGTGTATTCTTTATAGATTCCGGAATCTTATTAAATATTGTTTGACACATACAGTAGCAGTTATTTTTTAAATCGCGCGCTTTTTGGGACTATGTCAAGAACTAGCCTATTTTTATTTCTAGTGTTCCTGGGATACACTTCATGAGCTATTTTGTAAAAATCAGGGTATCGTTTGGCAAATTTCGCTGCTTCAAATATATATAAGCAAGGAAGAGGTAGAATACCAAGAAATTTAAACCATTGCTTATATGAGACGTCGGGAGCGATACCACATATGGATCTTATGCATTTTTTTTGGGCAATAAACACCCTTTGCGCATCTGTACCATTGCCCCAAATAATAATTGTATAACGTAAAATTGACTCCACATAAGCGAAGTATGCTGTGAGAGCCGTACTTCTTGTCGCTTCTCTCGATAATTTAAATAATGCAAATGAGAAGCTATTTATCTTATTACAAACGATTTCTGCATGTTGTTTCCAATCTAGTTTCTTGTCAATAGTTATGCCTAAGAATCTCCCTCTCTGCGAAATTGAAATAGATTTTAATTAAATATGAGAAAATAAACTCTTACATATGCCTAAATTATTGTTTCTTTAAAGACAAAATTAATTCAAGTTGAAAGTCACAGCATACCATGTTACTTACGACACAATTGGAAATTAACGAAGTCGTTACGTACTGCAGTAACTGCTTAAAAAGAAATTTGCGTTACTTATTTCGAAATAATGCGCTCTATATAATTATGTATTTATATTATATAAGTATTTTGCGATATTATGTATAACTGTTTTGTTTTTATTGTAAGGTTAAGCTATCTTTTAGTGTAGACATTATGACTTAAGTCTAAGACCCAATAAAAAAGGGAATATTTTTCTACTTACATAGTCTCAATAATATGAAATAAATGCAAAACTTAATGTGTTTATGACTTACCGAAACATGTAGTTGAAATCTACGAAATATTTCTTCCTCGTCTTCTTAAAACTAATATTCGAATATTTTGTTCACTTGTGAAATAGCGCGCCATTATTTTCGATTTATACAGCAATATAATAACACAATACATGATATATCAGTCAAATTCAAAAAGGAGAGAAGAAACGAAGTCAAAATAAACAAACCCGAAGTTTCGTGGAAGCAAGAATCAGAGTCTGGGTAGCATAAACAGTGGAAAGACTAACAAATGTCACAATTAAATGCAACTAAAAACAAAGAAAAAAAAGAGTTCATACAAGTACGCATCCTTGTACTGTACACGGCACTCACGGACAGTGGATTCTCATCGGTAGTAGTGCGTGTGTAGGCGGGGCCACCACAATACTGCCACCTTTACGTAGGAGACCATGATTTAAATACATTCATTCAACCAAATAATTTAAAATTACCAATACTCAGCCAGTTGCACAAACGTTCATTAAATTTTCCATTAGTTTAAAGTGACTTTACCCATACAAATCTAACATTCATTAGAGGCTAAAAGCGTCATTAAACCTTAATGGACGTTTGTGCGACTGACCGTCTATCTTTCTACATGGATTTACCAAAAACAACACGTTAAACTATCTGTACCAAGAAGTTTATATTGATCTGTACAAGTGTAACAAATTCATTAGCAATTGCTTTTACGAATTGTCGGCTTTCTTATGTCGAAATAAACGCTAGAGAATAATTTCGCTCAACGATTTATGACGTCTTTCGTTGCGTCATTATTAAATAACAACGTTATAATAAACCTTGACTGACATTTCATTAGGAAGCGTAATTCCGTGTTATATATGTAAACTTTCATATAATTTCTAACGCTACAGAAACTTCATAATTCGTACAAATAAACGTGATACCTAAGGGCCGATATTATTATTAGTGACCGTAGTCACTGCGACTTGAAAGATTTATTGCGACGCCGCCAGAACTACGGTAGCTCCTTCAGCCATAGCATCAAGAAAAGCTAATATATTCCTGTTTTTTAAAGCTTTTATATTATCAGGGGTTGATTATATGTCGTCCCAGATGTATGTATGCGTCGTTTGTGAATCAATGATCCACATTCACACGGGATATGGTTTAGTGTTTCTGCTCCTGTTTTGCAATATCTGCAAATGTCAGTGTCACTTAATATCGTGTGAAATAGGTCTGTTTAATTTGCAGTGTCCAGTTAAAATTCATACAGTTGTATGTATGTTTTTCTGTTTAGCTTAAAGAGCTTTAATAGTTTTTACGAATGGCCTTCGATTAGAGATTCAAAGTGATGTAATCCCGGCTGGTGGGGTCACTATTTATTTTTTTAATCTCTGGTTTAGGATTTGAAATGCATGTTTTTTGGCGCTGGCCCTACTTGTAATCCCTGTACCCCAGTCCTTTCATCCACTTTGTCATTAGCCATGATGCCCGAGTGACCTGGTACCCATTTAAGAATAATTTTATTCTTTGCACAGGTGAAATGGCAATAACTATAAATTCGAATGTCGCCAGTATAACCATATTGTTGATGGCTGTGTTAACATGGAAATTTTCAATCGAAATCTATTGTGATCAAAATATAAACTAAAGACTAATTTAAAGTAATTGAATATTATTTCAATTCTCGTTTTAATCAATTTCTATCAATAATTGTATTCTTATAATTTAAATTATTATTCAGATTGGCACATCTATATTAGTATTTCTAACTGAAAGGTACTAAAAATTTATTTAAAATAATTTAATATTGTTTAAATTTTATTTTGCAATAATTTTTTTCCATCAATAGCTATCATAGTTTATTTATTTAAGGACAGCTTACAAGACAAAACACTGATAATAGCTTTATTACAATAATTAAACCACATGCAAATAAGTGTTGCCTCAATTACAAGCTGCCAGGCATGTACGAGTAATAATTAATTACATATGATTTTAATAAGATTATGCTTACTTATATTATTTTTGATAAAAATGCATGACAGATAACAAATAGGTACAATTTATTTCCTTTTTTTATGTTAAATTTTAGTAGTATGAACATATTTAGGGTTTCAACCTAGTCTGTAAGCAGTGGTGTAACTATACCGTTTAGGCCTGTGGCAAATTCATTGAATTTATTTTTTTTATTAATTGCATACTAATAAATGTCAGGAGTAAGGAGTCTCCTCTGACCGGGGGCCCCTTCCAGCTGGGGGCCCATCGCATTTTGCAAACTTTCCACCCTGTAGTTACGCCACTGTCTGTAAGTTTAATATGCCCTATTATTTCTTGTAATTCTTGGTAGTCACCTGTTTTGTGCATTAAATGAATTGTTAATATGACATCCAGGTTGACTAGAACTCCTGGACTGGTCATGAGGACTACTCGAAATGCAGTGTCCTACCCAACATACCTTCTTACATCAGAATACCCTATATGACTAGCAAGAAATATCAGGGTAAGACTCCAAATTGGATGATCACAAAATTGATAAAGGTCACAGAAAGTTAATTAATAAAGTCAGTGCTGGTTCAATTGTCATAGAGATCGATTAGGATAGCCTATACTCAGCAATATGCATAATATAGAAGACAATGATGATGATCATATGGATGAATCTGCTTAAAACTGATTATTAACAAAAAGAATACAATAAAAATAGTAGTTAGCACTGCCCTAGTGTTGTTTTTTCTTTGTTTCAAAATGCTAAAAAACATGATTTAAAAATTTTATTCTTCTGCTGTGAATGCTGAAAGTGTCTCTTAATACAGATTCCTCTTGTACCCTGATATAATTTGGATTTTTATTGTTAAATAATGTAAATAATTTATAAATTTGAAAAAAATTCAATGCCAAAGTTTTTTAATAACACCTTAACCAGTTGAATTATAATAATATTTAGTCTTAATTTTATTAACATTTGGCTTTTAAGCTAGCTCCTGACAAAAGTTGTACAGACGGGACAATTAATATTAAGCTGGACAAGATGGAGGTCTTTGGGGGAGGCCTATGCCCAGCAGTGGGCATCTCTCAGCTGAAATGATGATGATGATGACGATGATGATGATGGACAAGATCTCAAAAAGTCAACGCCAATTGCAATCCAATTTTACATTTCGAAATTTAAGTGAATAGTCTACATATATAAACCTATTCACACAAAATATTCTAAAAAAATTACACATGTTTACAAGTCCTTAAAGACTAACTTACATGTATAATTTACTAAAGGCTGAGCTTTAGTATCAGCAACTACACAGATTATGTTGATTTTTTTTTATCATACATTCAGATGCTATTAATGTTTAATTTTATGAAGCGTCCACTTTTGTTTGATGTTTTGTGAACTTTGACAAATGTTTTTTATGCATATATCCGATTTTAGAGATTTTTTTTAACAGATAACAAAGTCATTTTAAAAACTTGATTTATTTTGCCCTGTAGGTCACATGATAGGATAGAACACTATAAAAAGTGCTGTACACAATTTTAATACAAGAAATAAAAATAAATTAACGGTGCCTGTCATTAGACTGCAAAAAGTTAATAACTCATTCAAGGGTCTTTGTGTGCGCTTCTACAATAAGGTCCCAAGCAAAATACAACAATTAGATATCATGCAGTTTAAATCTACTATTAAAAGAATACTTATTAAAAAAGCTTATTATAAGGTATCCCATTATATAACAGATAAGAATGCTTGGACTTGAGATGATCCAGCAACTGGATAGGTGATTACTTCTAAACTTATTATCTTGTTTCCATTATTATTATTAAATGATTATGTTATCATTATAAGACCATAGTTTTTTTTTTTCTATCTCTGTTTATAATGTATTGATCTGGTAATGACATGGTTTTTGTAAATGTCATTACTCTTATTAGAGCTGGTGAGTTTCTTGCTCGTTCTTCTTAGCAGCCAAAAGACGTCCTGAACGAGTGGTAGGGAAAAAATGTTGGACGATTCAAAAGTACTTTTAAGAAGTCTATTTGAATAAAGATTATTTTGACTTTGACTTTGTCTTAGAAGCATAATACAATCGCGAAGCGTAGTGTAGTTCACAAATTGTCTTGAATTTCAAGGTAATTTTTTTTATAACAGTAAAAGAATTTTGGCCTTCTTTCTTTTGTATTTTGATATGACACAAGAAATACAACTTTAATGTCTTTAAAATGAGGTTTAAATTTTTATTATATTATTCAGATATGATAATAAAAATTTCTTTTTCTTTTTTCTTCTTAACTATACTTCTGCGCGCTTGGGTAAGTGATTAAAAGGGTGTGTTGTTGCATGTGGTGAGGTTCTAGTCGCCGATTCTAAGGTGCTTCCAAATTTTTAAAAAGTTGAAAAGGATGTTAACTTTTATTCTTATTAGTCTTTTGTGACTTTTTTTATTCTATCTTGATACTTTTTGTAGTTATGTTTGTAACTTACCAATTGTATCGCCTTCCCTTTACCCGTTAGTTCTGATTGAGAACAGCTTTTAACTATTAAGTTTATGCACTCATATGAACATAGGTTTATTATTCAATAAAACCAAAATGTTTTCAGTTTTCATTCAAATAAATATAAGTTCCAATCACAAAACATTAATATATCAGTTTTTTCTACTAAACTTATTTAAATAAATTAATATCAATTAAATTAATTCAATTTCCTCAAAGACGTCTTCACACGATTTAACAACTTTACTTTATGTAAACGTCAAACATGATAGTGATGTCCAAATAAATTTGAATATAATCGTATTTCACAATTGAATGTAACTAGAATGTAACTCACTTAAAAATATTCAATTACATTAAATTTAACTGTTACTTTTGTTGGACTTTGGTAATAAAAAATATACGGCAACACAAAATTAGCTTTTCTACACTCTCTCTCCCTCTCTCTCTCTGGCTGTTACGATGTAAACATTACTGATAATTAATAAAATAAATTAAGTCAGGATAAAGGCTTTCTTTCTGCCCAATTGTACAAGTTTTCGTAACTTCTAATATTTATATAACATATTAATGAATTAATGTCAGCGAAGAAAAAGTTTTCACATTGGTGTCACAAGATATCATTTCAACAATGTTGGGCATATAGGTATAGATGAAAAAATATAATATTTTCCATATTATGTTATAATGTATCCTTGCATATAATTTCTATTTCTTTGAGTGGCCATATTAATGGTTTCTCTTAACCAAGCAATTTGCAATTGATGACGATCACATTCATCTCGTTTAAAAACTTTTAAAAGTTTTCCCCTAAAATAATGTTGATGTTAAACGCTTATTACTCATGTCAGACTAGTTCTAATAGTTATGTGCATCTTAGTAATAATATAGTATTTTGTTGTAATAACAAATACAGACTTACCAACTTTTCGCATGCAATAACTTTTTAATCCATGTGCTAACCACATGAATACTTACCAAATAAGTTTTAGTAATGTAATTGTTAAACTATAAGATGATTGATTTTATCCAACAATCGTATTAAATTTAGAAATTATTATAATTGAAATAATGGATAATACAGACATCCCTAATGAAATGATTCATTAAACATCAACATGTTTCACGCTCAAAAACACGTGAGCTGGAATAGAACGATATCTATATCTCTTTCTATTTGACTGCTGTTTACCTGCTAGGCACGTGGCCCAGGAAACACAAGGGTTCAATAATTAACTATGGATAACACGTAACTGCTCGGTCTTACGAGGGTCAAACTGAAAGTTCTTAGAACTGGCCACTTATAAACAATATAATAAAAAAATAATTCTAAAATTTGAAAATATAACTCTTTGCCAATATTACTGAGTATATATTTCATTCATTTGTCATTTGTTTTACGATTTGGCGGCAAATTGAAAATTGTCTGTGTCACGTCATCATGAATTTAACACGAGAAAATTTTCGTGCAATGATTTTTTATGACTTTCGATGTCATTTAAGTCAACAAGAAAGTTATGATAGACTACGATTGGCCTTTCACGATGAAGCCCCATCTCGTGCGACTGTTTACAACTGGTTTAATGAGTTTAAACGTGGTCGCACTAATCTCACTGATGATTTACGTGAGGGACGGCCTTCTACGGCGACGACTGAAGATAACATCTGTGTTGTGCGGCGTATGATAGAGACTGACAAAAGAGTGACCTATCAACAGATTCGGACAAGCTTAGGCATCGGTATGAGTCAAGTGCACAAAATCCTCCACGAACATTTAGCGGTCAGGAAGCTTTGCGCCCGGTGGATACCTCATAATTTGACTGAGGCTCAAAAACTCCATCGTGTGGATTGGTGTCGTAAAATGATTGAAAGATTTAACGGAGGTGACTCAAATGCTGTGTTCGACATACTAACAGGTGACGAAAGCTGGATTTACTGTTATGATCCTAAAACCAAAAGACAATCTGCTCAGTGGGTGTTTCCTTTCGAGGAGTTGCCAACTAAAGTGAAGAGAGATCGAAGTGCGGGAAAAAAAATGGTGGCCTCGTTCTTTGGAAGGATAGGTCATTTTGCAACAATTGTGTTAGAGGATCAAAAAACAGTTTCTGCAGAATGGTACACTACCAATTGTTTGCCACTTCTCTTGGAAAAAGTTCGAGAGAAACGACCTCGCAGTAGGATCCTCCTTCACCACGACAACGCCTCGTCGCACACCGCCAAGCGAACGATCGACTATTTGGCGACATCAAACGTTGAATTACTGGGTCACCCGCCGTATAGCCCCGACCTCGCGCCTTGTGATTTTTATTTATTTCCAAAAATTAAAGAAAAACTTAAAGGAAAGCGGTTTATGAATGCTGAAGAAGCGGTGGCTGCGTATCGCGATACCATTGAAGAGACCCCTAAGGACGAGTGGGCAAAGTGCTTTTCCCAGTGGTTCCATCGCATGCAGCGGTGTATTGACGTGAATGGACAATATTTTGAAAAGATATAATAAAACTAATAACTGGCTAATGTAATCAGTTTTTGATTTTCTAAGAACTTTCAGTTTGACCCTCGTATAATGCGTATGATATGGATATTATATAAAATGGACTACCTACCTATATTATATAGCATTTTAAGTTATTCAAGTATTATAACAAGGATTATTTCATTATGCGTTAGCCTTTCACAAAATGGCAATTGTCCGCAAGCGGTTTGAGATTATATATGGAGTTAAATTTCTTTTTAAAATCTGAACTGGCTCGTCAATGCTTGTAAAAATGTACCTAAATATGTACCTATTTATTCGTATATTAGGTGATATATAACTTATTGGTAAGTAACAGAATAAAAGACAAAGATTGTTAAACAGCTGTACCACAGTCCTCCCCCTTAAAGAGGTCATAGGATCTAATGGCAAAAAAATAATGATTTTATATAAAAATAATTTGAAGCCATAACGTTGTAAAAAAAACTAATCTGTTGTGGAGTCCACATTGTGTTTGCTACTATGATTTACTACCTATATTTTTTTTTAAAAAAAGGAATGTGTATTCGTCTCGATTATGGGATGATAATAATATACGACTTAAAAATGCATTTTTGTTTATATTACAAATGTCACAAATTACATCTCCACAGAGTGGGCGACTAAGACTATTAAACAGATGTGCTACACTATAATCACATCATTTTGGTAAAGTACTTAAAAACTTATGTCCCTAGACAATCTTCACAATTCCGCTAGATATTTATTTTTCTTACGCTAAATGTCCCTTAACTTTTATGTCCAAAAATATCAGCACTACAGCTGTGCAAGAACTGCACTGCAGGCGGGATGGAGAGGCTATAAATATAACAATGAAGATACTCAATTAATATATTTATTTATTAAAAAGGAAATTAAAAGTTGAAATCATAGAAAATATCAATCATTGTACAAAGTATCAACAAAACGCTTTAGTTGTTGCAAGCACAGGTATAAACCAACGTTTAGGTATACTCTTCATAGTTCTCCCATTCTCTTCTAAAATGTTGAATGTAGCTGTTTTTTTGAACGGAGCACCCATGTCTATTATGTTAGTCACATGAACAAAAAAAAAAACTGATAACGCAAACAGATTACTGAAAACATTATTAATTTTAAGAGTGATTCTTCCGTTTCCTCCTAATCGCCATTTCAGGTCGAAAGTCGTTATGAATATTGTAGTCAACCGTATTTTTTTTATTGAATTAGGTAGGAAGTACTTTAATCTTAAACATCCATTATATTTATCAGGTTTAAAACTCATAATAAAAAAAGTCTAGAATAAAAACATGCATTTTTTTCATTCCTCTCCTCATCCAAATGGTCCCTCAGAACGTTGTGACATAGTTCTGTTGACTTTCCTACGGGAAAAGTACATAATTTTTATTCTTATATACTAATGTATTTGTTGCCACTATCACTATCTATTTGTTGCCAAACAAAACACGCCTCCCGCGAACCTCAGTCCGTCGATACAAGTCGTTAGAAGGGGATGCGCGGTACTCAAACAAAATATTTTTACTATTTTTTTTCTGAAAACAGCGTTTGTCACGAGTAAGTAAACATTACCTTCCATAGTTTTTGTATGTAAGTGTATGACGTAATAAAATAATTTTAATATTAGGTATCAGCATACTGTAGGGTCTAGTTATCAATTAACTGTAAAGATCTAGCCTTTATTAATTCGTGAGTCAATTCATGAAAACTGCTCAAACTTCATTCCTTTCCGTGTAATTCCCTCCCATTCCCTTCAATTTTTTTAACGGAGGGGAATAAATCACTTTGGAGGGTAATGATTTTTTCAAATATAAAATTAATATGTACCTATTCTCTTGCTGTTTTTTTCTATTATTTTGATTATATTGAATTATAACTTGTGTAAGTATTTGTCAGTATTATTGAACTAACTTTAAATTAAATCTGTGCATTTTATAACCTACCTAAGTACTTATAAATTAAATAATTGTCCCCTGCTTCTTTCTTTCTGTCTCCCTCTGTGCCTGTTTACATTATACTGAAAATCTATTGAACGAACGGAATAGGTAGGTACTTAATTCATAAAGAAGGTTTCGTGAAATTTTCGGTTATTTTGCTTAATTTTGTTTTAAATACATCTGCAACAAGGTCGAAACCGAAGAAAAAGGCAGCTAAGGAAGAAAAAGATATCGGGTTGGCACAAAAGTAATGAGACACTTGGTTTAAGTTTTTACTTTTTTATTATTATTACAATAAAAAAAGTTTAGTCAATGATGTAATTACCATTAGTATCTAAGACTTCTTGCCAACGATCCGGCAAAGTTTGGATGCCTTTTGCCCAGAACTCTGATGGCTGTGCCTCGAAAAAGTTGTTCAACTCCGCCTCTACGTCAGAGAAATCATTAAATTGTTTACCCCGCAAATGCTGTTTCAGGGCTCTAAACAAATGATAGTCTGATGGGGCGAGGTCTGGGGAATAAGGTGGGTGGGTGGGGTATCGTCTCCCAGCCGAAGTTCTCCAACTGCCGGCGAACCACAGATGCGACGTGAGGTCGAGCGTTATCGCGCAGTAAAACTACATTGACTCGTCTTCGTCGTTTTTTCTTGATAGCGGCAGATAATTTGGTAAGCTGGGTTGAATATTTGTCAGCGTTTATAGTTTCATTGTGTAATAGCTCATAAAACAGTATGCCTTGCGCATCCCAGAAACAGTAAAGCAGAATTTTTCGGCGGTTCTTTTGACTCGGCTTCGGTTGAGTTGGTG